GGCTGCTGCCTTGCCTGGCCCACGCACCAACAGGACTCCACAGATGAGCAACCATCCAGGCGGCCAGGGGCAAAGCGAACTTAGTTTCTTGTAAGAAGTAAGCATGAAGTTATAAAACAAACCGGCAGCACTGTTCCTAGGTATTAACCCCAGAGAAATGAAAATTCTGGCACCCCAAACCAGAAACATTGCAAAACATCCTTTAATAACCGCAGCCATACAATGAAACATCATTCACCAATAAAAAGGAATGAGCTCCTTACATAGCTGTATCTTTTACCATTCTGTTTATGTGATGTCTGGTGCTTACAATGTCTGCATCACATGTTGCATTGCTAGTTCAAGTCTTGGCTGTTCTGCTTCCTACTAATTCTGCCACCACTTGGGTGCCTGGGTACCCAGTGGAAATGGTCCGAATATTTGATCCCCTGCCACTTGGTAAGAGACCGAGATGGAGTCCTTAGTTCCCAGACCTGGCCGTTTGTGGAGGGAACCATCTAATGGACTCCCCATTCCCACTGTCATTCTGCCTTTCAAGTAATTAAATAAACCTGTAAGAAAAAACTGCACTGGTAGTCTCAGAGTGAATGTGAGGGGAGCATTATAGATGAGATTGGCACCTAAAGGCGTGCGGGAGCATCATGGAGTGAGGGAAATATTGTATATTTTGTCAGTTTCCTAGAACTGTATAGCTAAAATGGGTGAATTTTGTTTTGTGTCTTTTACCTTATAACTGACTTAATTTGCCTATTGTTGAAGAAAGAATGCATCCCTTAGTAAAATGATTGCTCTATGAGGATTGTGAGTGCTAGAGCCGTGCTGGAGAATGTGCGTGTCGGGGAAATGTGCGTTGACGTGACCTCCTCAGAGTGGTGTTGTCTTTGTAACTGAAGAGATGTGTGCCACCACCTTAACCAATCGGTCAGTCCCATCGAGCACATTCAGCATGACCGAGGGACCAGTGGGTTATGGAGTAAAGCATGCAGCAGGAGCGGCACCTCAGGCAGTGCCAGCCACAGACACTTGGATGGAAGATACAGGGAGGCAGCAAGCTACAGTCTGAGAAAAGCACAGAGATCCAGAATGTGGAGTAATCTCTAGGACGGCTTGGTAGTTTCAAAAACATTCAGGAACTAGGCCATGAAAGCAGGAGGACTACCCCTTCTCAAAAGGGAGGTGACAGCAGGGACTGCCAGTGCTGACGGCTCTCAGGGACATGGTGGGAGCAGCTGAGGACACTGCCTGCCAGTGCTGACGCTCTCAGTGACATGGTGGGAGCAGCTGAGGACACTGCCAGTGCTGACGGCTCTCAGGGACATGGTGGGAGCAGCTGAGGACACTGCCTGCCAGTGCTGACGGCTCTCAGTGACATGGTGGGAGCAGCTGAGGACACTGCCTGCCAGTGCTGACGCTCTCAGGGACATGGTGGGAGCAGCTGAGGACACTGCCAGTGCTGACGCTCTCAGGGACATGGTGGGAGCAGCTGAGGACACTGCCTGCCAGTGCTGACGCTCTCAGGGACATGGTGGGAGCAGCTGAGGACACTGCCTGCCAGTGCTGACGGCTCTCAGGGACATGGTGGGAGCAGCTGAGGACACTGCCTGCCAGTGCTGACACTCTCAGTGACATGGTGGGAGCAGCTGAGGACACTGCCAGTGCTGACGGCTCTCAGGGACATGGTGGGAGCAGCTGAGGACACTGCCTGCCAGTGCTGACGCTCTCAGGGACATGGTGGGAGCAGCTGAGGACACTGCCTGCCAGTGCTGACGGCTCTCAGGGACATGGTGGGAGCAGCTGAGGACACTGCCTGCCAGTGCTGACGCTCTCAGGGACATGGTGGGAGCAGCTGAGGACACTGCCTGCCAGTGCTGACGCTCTCAGGGACATGGTGGGAGCAGCTGAGGACACTGCCTGCCAGTGCTGACGGCTCTCAGTGACATGGTGGGAGCAGCTGAGGACACTGCCTGCCAGTGCTGACGCTCTCAGTGACATGGTGGGAGCAGCTGAGGACACTGCCTGCCAGTGCTGACGCTCTCAGGGACATGGTGGGAACAGCTGAGGACACTGCCAGTGCTGACACTCTCAGGGACATGGTGGGAGCAGCTGAGGACACTGCCAGTGCTGACGCTCTCAGGGACATGGTGGGAGCAGCTGAGGACACTGGTGTAGACTGCCAGCATTCAGTGACACCAGTAAGGTATAGCACAGAACTGTGGTTAAGTCAGAAGTCTGTATTTCAGGACATGGTGAGTGTTACTCTGTACAAGAAGTCTTTCTGGCGTGCATGAGTGCTAAGAGAGAGTTGGTGTTTTCTGGCAGTAATAATCGGCCGCAGCAGGACTTGGAGACAGGTGTAGGTTTACAGTTACTCTTGTCACCTTCTAGAAAGTTCAGCCCTCAGCCAGGCTCTTTGGGATGGCTGTATTACTTTATGTAATATGCACTGTTGACTGACAGCAGGAGGCCTGGGGCAAGCTGAAATGCTAAAATATGTTCATGAATTAGTGGCGACTAAGATTTAAAATTAGGAGGGGGTGTTTTTTGATGTGTCTTAAGTTTAATTCTGGCTTAAAAATCATTCACTTAATAAATCTGGGTTTCTGAATCCTAAATTTGATAGAATTTTCCATAGAATTTTTTAATCCTGTTTAAGAAATTTGGAAAGTCGGGCCCGGCGCGGTGGCGCAAGTGGTTAAAGGTCCTTGCCTTGCACGCCCGGGATCCCATATGGGCGCCGGTTCTAATCCTGGCAGCCCCGCTTCCCTTCCAGCTCCCTGCCTGTGGCCCGGGAAAGCAGTTGAGGACGGCCCAAAGCTTTGGGAACCTGCACCCACGTGGGAGACCCGGAAGAGGCTCCTGGCTTCGGATCAGCATAGCATCGGCCGTTGCGCTCACTTGGGGAGTGAATCATCGGATGGAAGATCTTCCTCTCTGTCTCTCCTCTCTGTATATCCGCCTTTCCAGTGAAAAACTAATAAAAATAAATCTTTAAAAAAAAAAAAAAAGAAATTTGGAAAGTTGATAGTTGAACAAAATACTCCGTAGAGGCCTTTGTATTTGTAAATTGAGTTTTGATTTCACGTGTTGTGAGTGGTCTTGAATCTTAACCTTCATAACCTCTGGTTCCCGGCATGAGGGGTATGCTGACAGTAACTGCCAAGGCCAAGGTCATTGAGAACATAGGTTGGAGACAAGATTGCATCTCTCTCCCTCTGGGGAATGGTTCCTAGAAAGAAAGTTGACCTTGCTTTCCTTACGCCTCTCGAACTTAACTTGTAGTTTGCCAGCTATGACCAAAGCAAGCGTGTGCTTTTCTTCCTTTTCATGTATATTTTTAAGTGAAAGTACTGTTATTGGAAGCCTTACCTCGTTCCTTTGTTAACACATAAAAATCAGAGTTGAAATTGGCTCTGAGGAGTGTCTGTGAGTTGAGTGAAGGCCATACAGCATGTGCGTTTGTACTGCCTCCCAGCTGCCGGGACCGGCTCCCACAGAGACCGCTTTGTTCTGCTGTTGGCCCCCGGAGAAAACCTGTTGCTAAACTATGCACGGCTTTGTCAATCAAGATAAACTGGTCAGGAAGTGGATACAGCAAAAGACAGGAAACCAAGTAATGCCTCCTAATTAGCACCCTGTTTTCAAAGTAGCAAAACTGCAGGTAATAAAAGAATATTCCATTTGGAAAGCTTCTGTACATCCCTCCTATAATCTGAATTCAGTAGCTAATTCCTCTGACTGCTGGATGAAGGAAGCAGAAGTCACCACTGTGAGTGAGTCTCTAGGCCAAGGCACGCTGGGAACAGGTGGTGGGGTGACACCTGCCGCTGTGCGCGCGTGTGTGTGTGTGTGTGTGTGTGTGTGTGTGTGTGTGTGTGTGTGAGTGATGATGCAGGCCAAGCCAGGGCAGTGAGTCTCCATAGGCCAAGGCACGCTGGGAACAGGTGATGGGTGTGTGTGTGTGTGTGTGTGTGTGTGAGAGAGAGAGAGAGAGAGAGAGAGACAGAGAGTGAGTGATGATGCAGGCCAAGCCAGGGCAGAGGATTTGGAGTGGAGGTGAGTTTTCCTTCAGGCCGGACAGTGAGTCAGCGACAGAAGGGAACTGAGTTGCATTCAGAAGTCACTTTAAGCAGGACTCTGGATGTCAGGAAGAAAGGAATTTTCCCATACATTATTCATAAGTAGCTGAATATATTTTTCACCACAGAGTTAAACTCAAACATAATGTATTCACAGCTTAATTTATGGGTTTGAAAATACCCTTGAAATAGTTTTCATTAAATAAGTGTTTTGTCGAAGCATTTTGCCTTGTTTACAACTTACAGAAGACTTTTCAGAAGCCCTGCTGTTTCTGATCATCTGGACTGTACATTGTGCCCTTACATCACCGACCCCTGGCCTTCCACAGAATCTATGTCTTTGTGACACGTTTCTTTCTCCCCTGAGAAGTTTTAACAAGGAATCAAAAGAAGCAAAGAAAATTCAAAATGTCCTCTATTTTCTATTCCCACAATGGGCACAGAGCAAGCTTCCAGTGCCAAGACAAAGTGGACAGTCCTCAGAGCACTCAGAGAGTAGGTGGGCTAAGCGACAAAGTGGACAGTTTCGAAAGATTGAAACTCTAGTCTTTAAAATATGAACCAGGATTTATTTTGTTGAGGCGTAATTTATACTTCATAAAATGCCCGTATCTTCACTGTACTGTCTGTGGGTCAGTACGAGCAGACATCAGGGCAGTGTGGAGAACCTGCTCACTGAATACCTGCCAGGCCATGCAGAAATTTCTAGATGATTCCGAGCTACACCCATTTAAGATTCGTTGTCTTTGTAAAAAGAACCAACCGATTGGTGTACGTAAAAATATGCAAAGTTTCAGAATGTCATACAGAGTAAAATTAGGTTATTATGTTTTTTTAAATTTGCCATTTCTCTTATCTTTTTATAGGATTTGCCATATGGGCTTGAGGTAAAAATCTCAATTTGTTTTTCTGTTTATTTTTAAGAAAATTAATGCAAAGCTTCATGCGGGAGTGTGTCAGCGGTGTAAAGAAGTTCTTGAATGGCGCGTGAAATACAGCAAGTACAAACCACTGTCGAAACCTAGAAAATGGTGAGTTCAGCTCTTACCTTAGCGGTGATGGAGTTGTAAATACAATATATATAAGTAGCAAAATCTAGATGAGACATTAAAGCCTAAACAATGATCTCTGACAGCAAAGACCAGCTAACACAAAACAAAGCATAACCCGTGAGATCCTGGGAAACCACTCAACAGGGTCTGTGGTAAAAGAGGAAAGGTCTTTTGCAGTTGGATCCTGCTCACTGTCCAGACATCTTCAGAGGTAAGAACACCAGTCCCCTTGGATCTCGTGGCCTCAGGTAGACACTGGTCCCCTTGGATCTCGTGGTCTCAGGTAGACACCAGTCCCTGTTGGATCTCGTGGCCTGCTCAGGGGAAGCTTTTAGAGTTCTTCTGGTCTCTGTTTCTCACTTCGCTTCAACTTAACGTCTCGGCGTGCCTGGAAGACTGTGTTTAGCGTGTTCAGGCTTTGCAGAATCGCTTGCTTGGCCTCAAGCATTGTGATTTCAGATTGTCCTGAGCACGTGACGTACCAGCACCTGGCAGCCGGACATTCAAACCCCAGTCCAGGATTACAGTGTTGTGGGAGGCACCCTTCCACCTTTATTTGTGGCTTAAGACGGATCAGGATTAGGAGGTCTCGGAGTCTGCAGCCCCACTGTGTGTGCTATTGTAGGGCCATGTGTGACAGACTAGAGACTGCCTTCTGTAGCCCCACTGTGTGTGCCAGTGTAGGGCCATGTGTGACAGCCTAGAGACTGCCTTCTGCAGCCCCACTGTGCGTGCCAGTGTAGGGCTATGTGTGTCAGCCTAGAGACTGCCTGCGGTAGTCCCCTGTGTGTGCCAATGTGGGGCTATGTGTGTCAGCCTAGAGACTGCCTGCGGTAGTCCCACTGTGTGTGCCAATGTGGGGCCATACATGATGGCCTTGTTGGTTGTACTTTTCACTTCCTACTTTTCTTGAACAGACTGAGGCTCTCAGGGTTAATCATTGATGGGAGAGTGTGTCACTGCGTGCCCCGTGCATTGGAATGTCCTGTAGTTCACTTCTAGGCAGAGAGCTCTTTATGTAATCTCAGAGTGATAGCAACTCCTGGTTTGTTTGTTTGTTTTTCTCCAGAATCTTTGTTTTACTTCTAAAGGTGAAAGTTGACAGATTTCTTGAGTTCCAGCAGTTCCTCGCCTGTGTTTGAAAGTCACTTTTCTTTTTTTCGCATCGGTGCAGCAAGCTTTCATTTTAAATTACCTAACCTAGAATGCTGAACAGTTTCTGTGTTCTGAGCCGTTCTTGGTCAGGCGTAAGTCTTGTATTCTTTGAGGAAGGATTCTGACTTGGAGTGCTAACACGACGAGAAGGAGCACTGCAAGCTCTGGCTGCTTGCACTGCGTCCAGAGATGCGAGGAGTCTCAGTTTCCTGTGCTCGAAGGATTCACTTGGGATTTGCAGAGTCTCTTTAAAAGCATTTTATAAAGAGCATATGATGTCATCCTCTGCTGTGGCTGTACATGTTCTGGTGAACCAGGTTATTTAAAAGCCATTGCAGGAAGTGACTCCAAAACTGTCCGTGTTTCTGTTGTTTATACATCAGGGGTGGAGAACCACATAGCACAGGTCACTGTTTACAAAGGCACCAACTGCTCACCTGGGTACAGGTGAAGCCCGTATGGTAAAGGTGAGAGAGGAATAACCAGGAAAGAAGATGAGGCCAGGAAAGTTGTAGCAGAGTAAATTTAATTTCCAGGAAATGTTCATCTGTTTTATGTCAAGACCAGTGGGAGGTCCCAAAAGGCGAGGGAAGAAATTTTACTCCCTTTTATGTAGATTACATATTGATATTGATTAAATGTTGGTATATTTAATGTTCAGTAAAAGAAGTTTTGTTAGTAATCACAAACATTGGTATCATTAAAAAGTATTTGGTTTTCAGCTCTGAGATGGGGGACAATGGATACGGTGATTACTGTATAATTTAGTGTCACTGACTTTGTTCATACTGATGTGCCAGTATTTTATATTAAGAAGTTTGCAGAACTTTGAAGTACAACTTATCTCTTATTATAATTCTTGTTTATAAGAATGCCTTGCCTAGCTCAGATTACAAAGATTTATTCCATTTGTTTCTAATGATTTTTAAAAATTGTTTGTAAAAATTCACATTTTTAGCATTTTTATTTCAATATTTTATTCATTTTTATTTTTGTATGTTCTGTGAATTAGGAACCCACCTTCACTCCTTTGCATAAAGATACCCATTTTAGTATTTTTGTGTTGGAAAAGTAATTTTTCTCTGTTGTCTTGGCATCTTCATCAGAAAATCAGTTGACCAGGGCAAACGTGACAGTTAGTAGCCACCTGCAGTCGCAGCATCGCACACGAGTGAGTGCTCGTTGGAGTCCTGGTTTCCTGTCTGCATAATTCCCTGCTGTCCTCCCTCCTGTCCTCCTGGGAGGACAGCAGAGCCTGGCCTGGGAGTCCTGGTCCCTGCACGCATGTGGAAGCATTGGCTGAAGAGTCTGGCTCCTGGTTCTTCTGTTAACGTTATTTGGGCTGGCAGACTGGAGACAAAGCATCTCTGTGTTTCTCCTCTGTGTGTAATAGCCATTCTAACAAACGATTTTTTTTAAGCTTTATTTATTCAGCAGGCAAAGTTATAAGAGAGTAAGCCCAGACACGTGGGCCATGTCCCAGTGCTTTTGCAGGTAGCTTAGCAGGGAATTGAATTGGAGGCCGAACAGCCAGGACTTGGCGGCCCCAGGCAGGACACTGCACTGCAGGCAGCAGCCGGGCTCAGTGCTCCCCGGTGCAGGCAGCGGCCGGGCTCAGTGCTCCCTGGTGGTGACAGTGGCCGGGCTCAGTGCTCCCCAGAGCAGGCAGTGGCCGGGCTCAGTGCTCCCCAGTGCAGGCAGCGGCCGGGCTCAGTGCTCCCCGGTGCAGGCCCTCTGCATAAACCTTTGAAAAAATATCTGTTGACCAAAATGTAATGGTGTATATCAGAATCTTCATTCTTATCCTGTTGATCTCTATGTTTTTGAATAGCCATACTATCCATCTGGATAAGTGTAATTAGGAAGTTTGAATCCTCTCATTTTCTTTTTTTTAAAGATTTATTTTTATTATTGTTTTTATTGGAAAGGCGGATGGATATACAGAGAGGAGAGACAGAGAGGAAGATCTTCCATCTGATGATTCACTCCCCAAGTGAGTGCAACGGCCGATGCTATGCCGATCTGAAGCCAGGAGCCTCTTCCGGGTCTCCCACGTGGGTGCAGGGTCCCAAAGCTTTGGGCCGTCCTCGACTGCTTTCCCTGGCCACAGGCAGGGAGCTGGAAGGGAAGCGGGGCTGCCGGGATTAGAACCGGCGCCCATATGGGATCCTGGGCGTGCAAGGCGAGGACTTAACCACTTGCGCCACCGCGCTGGGCCCAGATCCTCTCATTTTCAAGAACGCTTTGTGCTGGGCCCCTGGGATCACCTCTCCAGGACGCCCTTGGAGTATTAGTAGAGCTTGTGCTTGGCCAGTCCTGCACTTATCGTTAGGGTTATCCAGCAGCACGGAGTGCCACACAGTACAACTTGAGGTTTTTTTAGCTGTGTTTCACAGGTTTTCAGTGTGTTTGGCCTTGTACTTCTTTTCTTGAATTTGTTCTCAACTATTTTATGCTTGTATGGGTTGTTGATAAGTGTATAGAAACCTAATTGATTTTTATATCTTCTTGTGATAAGTGTTTTTAATCTTATTTTTTAAATTTTTAAAATTCTAAATATCAGGTGCTATTACTTTATAGTTATGTGCTGATATGTGAAAATGCTATGTAATTAATTTTAAGTGACATTACACCTAATACCAGAGTGAAATCTAAAAGTTTTGACTTTAGACTTTTTAGCTGACTTAGCCAAACTCCTCTTTTCATCAAGTTGATCTTAGTTAATGAAAACTAATCACTGGTGTTGTTTTCCGTTTTTTTAGTGTGAAGTGTTTACAAAAGACAGTGAAAGATTCTTATCACATGATATGTAGACAATGCGCCTGTGAGCTCCAAGTTTGTGCAAAATGTGGAAAGAAAGAAGATATTATTATTCCGTGAGTATTACCAGTTACTTTTTAGTTTTACTATTAGTGATTGATAGATGAATTCTCTTTTAATGAGACAGACAATGCTTCTATTCTTAAGTAGCATTATATCACATTAGTGTTTACTTTTTTCTCTTGAAAGGAAAAACGATTATTTGAAATTTTTCTATCATTACAATAGAAAGTGTATTTTAAAGTGATAAAATATTTTTAAGAAGTTGACTTTCATTACAAAAGAATTATACCAGCTTTTAAAAAAAAGAGATTTATTTATTTTTATTGGAAAGTCAGATTTATGGAGAAGGCGAGATAGTGAGGAAGATTTTCCATCTGCTGCTTCACTCCCAAAGCGGCCACAGTGGCCAGAGCTGATCTGATCTGAAGCCAGGAGCCAGGAGCTTCTTTTGGGCTTCCCACATTGCTGCATGATCCCAAGACTTTGGGCTGTTTTCAGCTGCTTTCCCAGGTCACAAGCAGGGAGCTGGACAGGAAGTGGAGCATCCAGGACATGAACCAGCAGCCATAAGGGTCCCGTGTGTGCAAGGCGAGGCCCTTACCCACCAGGCTACTGTACCAGCCCTCATAAGAACTTCTTAGGAACACACATCATGTATTTCTTTGGACTTACTTTAGTGACAATTAGATTATATATACAGTTGGTTAGATCGTTAATAAATGTAGTGCTTGCGGATGTTTTGTCTGCTCGCTTCAGGAGGTTCCTGTTAATAATGAAATGTAGTAATAAAGGGCTTTTGAATATGTAGAGATAAAGCCTGACAAAAAAAAAATTGTTTTTTTCCTTCAATCTTTAGGTTTAACAAAGAACTTGAAAAGTCAGAGAACATCGATGGCTCCGACTATAGAGGAGCTTGTAGACCCGAGGAGAGGGATGGCGATTCAGAGTTTGATCTTGACTTGGATGACACAGAAGATGAACCCCGCAGTGGATGAGTGCAATGTCATTAAATGTCAGTGTAACACCACCAGAGTCTGGCCAGCTTTTGACTTTTTCGATTTCACAGAGGATGTTTGAAAACACAGTGAGAGTGGGAAAACTTGTAGCAAACTGAAAGTGTTTGTACACGAACGGTATAAATTATGCATGATTTGTGAATAATTATTAAAATTCCAAAGTTTTCTTATAATAAATTTTAAGTTGAATAGACTGCAATATGCCCCACATTGAGAAGTGGGGTATCACATTGCAGTTCATGGAACTTCCTAGTATATAATTGAACAGTATTTCAAACTGATGATTTAAGAACTACCTCGTGTAAAAATAAGATGACACCCTCTGCTTGGCTTCAGGATTGGGTCTGTGGGAACTACTGCGCTAGGTGGAACTCAGGCAAGTGGTCCAGCAGCAGAGGCACTCCTGCCAGCATTTGCTTGTTGCAAAGCAGTTGATGCTTCCATCATAATATTCAGCAGGGGCTGGCATCGTGGGGTGTAATGCCAGCATCCCATGTGGTTGCTAGTTTGTATCTCTACGGCCCCATTTGGATTCAGCCCCCTGGTAACGGCCTGGGAAAAGCAGTGAAGATGGCGCAGGTGTTGGTGCCCTGTCACCCATGTGGGAGATCTGGAGGGAGCTCCTGGCTCCTGGCTTCATCCTGGCCCAGCCCCTGCCTGTTGCTGCAGGCCTCTGGCGCGTGAGCCAGTGAGTGGAAGATTGCGTACTCTATAACTCTGCCTTTTAGTTAAAAAGTTTAACAAATGTATCTCATTTTTTTCTTTCAAAGTATTTTTATAACATACTCCTTTTTTTTTAATCTTTTTCTCTTGCAAAGGATACATACAGGAAAAAAAATCCGTTGAGTTTGTTTGCATAGTTTAATGAGTAATTGTGAAGGAAAGTCACCCCTTCAGAGGAAGGTGAGGTGATCAGCGCCCAGCAAAGCTTTTCTTTTTCTGGTTTATCCATCTCGCGTGATTGGCACTGTCCTCACTTTGTTTATTCTGCTTCTCATGTTTGTGTCTAAATTGTATAGCAGCTTTGTGTTATTTCTGAACTCCTCTCATTTCCGTTTGAAATCTTAAGCTTGCACAAAAGTAGCCGTAGTGCAAGGATGCTGTGCACACTCGTCCCCTGGCCCCAGTCACTGCCGACATGTTGGCGTGGTTTCTATCTTGATAGATGAATGGACATACACATTCATTTACGTATTTAAATTTGTTGAGTCATTTGACAATAAATGGCAGTAATTTTGAGCAGGTTTACTATGCCATCTACTTTGTGTATCTTGTGTTCGTTGCTGGAGAATGTATAGATTGTTTTTGTGTCGTGATAAGGGTTACAGTTGATCCATTTTGTCCTCTGTGTATTGGTCCATGCCCATCCTGATGATGTGGAGTTATTTCAAGTTGTCCTATCTTAGACAGTAACGGCCTTTGATGCGTAGGCACCTTTCTGATGCATGAGGCTTCTGTTTTCCGGTGTGGTGGGAGGCTTTCCAGAGCGGCTGTCCTCTGCCTTGGCCACGATCGGTGTGCTGTGTCGGTGCCCTGCCTGCCTCTGGCGCTTGGTGTCAGAATGTCAGCTGACAGTGGGACTTTGTTCAACAGTATCTCAGTCTTACTGATTTTTATTACCCTGATTACTATTAGTGATATTAGGAAATAATTTTTGTTAGATGTAATAATGTTTTAGAAATGCATAATGAATTTTTGATTTTTTTTAAGCATATATTTGTTTATTTGAAAGGCAGAATTACAGAGGAAGAAGGAGAAACACAGAGAAGTCTTCTGTCTGGTGGTTCAGTCCACAGATGGCTGCATGAGCAGGGGCCGTGCCGAGTGCAAGCTTCGGGCCCGCAGCTCCTGGTAGAGGTGCCCAAAACTTGGACCACCTTCTGCTGCTTTCCCAGGTGCATCAGCGTAAACGTGTGATGACAGACAACATCTCAGTGGCGTCCAGAGTCTGTTGCTCGGGAATAATGAAGAAGCAGAAGGTACCCAGCAGGCAGACATGCTGGAGCAACAAGTGAAGCTGGCCTTCTTGGTGTGCTCGTCAGATGCTGCTGTGGCCTGGGGGTTGCAGCTGCTGATGTCCGTGGGAGACTGGGTGCTAGTCCAGGCGCTGCGCTGCAGCCACCGTGTGGGAACCCAGGGGGAAGCTGGCCTCGCCTGCCCCTGGCTGTTGACAGCACTGTAGAATGAACTGGAGTCTAGAAGAATCTCGCTCTCCGTCACTCTCACCTTCTATTATTGTATGTCATTTTGCCTTTCAAATAAATAAACCTCTTCTGAAAGAGTACGCAGAAAATCCAAGCTATTAATGAAAGGGAGGACAAAACCGAGACGTTTCCCATGTTTGTGATGGAGAAGACTTCAGTGGTTTAAGCTTTGATCCTCCTGGAAGTTTCTTTGACACACGTTGTGCGGCTTCTTTTGCACGTTTAGCTCTGTAGACTGTCGAGCTTGCGTTATTGAGGAGCTAGCATTGGTCCAGGGCTGAGGCGATCTCCCCAAGCTCCGTTGTGGCCACATCTACCTCCGTGTATTCGCAGATGGAGACATCTCTCCAGCAGTTGTCCTTTCTCGTTTCTAAGCTGCTTTTTAAAGGTTCCCTTACATTGTGTTCTCTGAAAGTCGCAGTGACAGAGGTGAGTCACTGTTCAAGTGCCCACTCGGGTAGCATGGCCTCAGTCCAAAGCCCGGAGCCCACAGTGCCCCAGGGAGGGTAGAGGGACCACGCCACGTGCTGCTTCCCAGGGCGGACATGAGCAGGAAGCTTCATCAAGAGTGTGGAGGAGCTGGGACTCAAACCGGACACTCTGACAGGGGCCGTGTGTGTGTGCCAGGTGGTGCCTTAAGCCACTGAACCTCAGTACTCACTCTTACACTATGCTTTTAAAATCAGGGCTGGGGCCCGGTGCAGTAGCCTGGTGGCCAAAGTCCTCGCCTTGAACATGCCAGGATTCCATATGGATGTCGGTTCTAGTCCTGGCGGCCCCACCCCCCATCCAGTTCCAGGTTTGTGGCCTGGGAAAGCAGTTGACGGCACAAAGCCTTGGGACCCTGTACCCGCGTGGGAGACCAGGAAGAAGCACCTGGCTCCTGGCTTCGGATTGGCACAGCTCCATTCGTTGTGGCCGCTTCAGGAGTGAATCATCGGATAGAAGATCTTCCTCTCTGTCTCTGCTTTCTGTGTATTTGCCTTTCCAATAAAAATAAATCTTTGATTATGTACATTAACCTACTTCATCAGCCAGTTAGATTATAAAAGTAGAAGACACAGAGCTGAGGTGCTGCGCGGGCAGACAGCTGGTCAGTGACAGGTCCGGGATTGCGACCGCGCTGCGCTAGGTGTCCCTGCACTTCACGGCAGCGGCTGTGGGAACGACGGGCAAAGCTGCCAGAAGGACCTGGTGCACATGGGTCCGTTTACTAAACAAAGTAGTCATATAGCTTTATTCAGTAATCACCGAGCACCCATGTGTGTACTGTACTTTTTAAAACGTTTTTATTTGAAAGGCAAATTTATTGAGAGAGTATACAAAGATTATCTACTGGTTTGCTTTCCAAATGGCTGCAGGAGCTGGAGCTGAGCCAATCCAAAGCCAGGAGCCAGGAACTTTGTCCAGGCCTCCCACGTGGGTGCAGGGTCCCGAGGCTTTGGGCCGTCCTCCACGGCTTCCCCAGGCCACAGGCAGGGCACGGGGTGGGGATGCAGCACCCGGGATGTGAGACAGCACCCATAGGGGATCCTGGCACTTGAAAGTGGAGGATTAGCAAATAGAGCATTGTGCTGAGCCTTTCCTGCCCTCTCCCCCTCCTTTCAAAAGGAAAGAAAGAAATTCTTGGGACGGCAGGTTCACGGAGAGGGGAGACACGCACTGCACTTTTCAGGGCTCTTAGGGTGCAGTAATGAACACAGCTGGTGTTTGCCACAAAGGTCGCTTGGGTGGGTAGAAACAGACCATAAGCAATAGATGTGAAAAGTTCAAAGTGTTATGGTGTGAGAAGGCATTAGTGTGAAGATTGGAAGCCTGTGAGTATGGTTAGGCTGTGATGGTGGTATGCAGTAGGGGGCGATTTTTAAATGATGTGTCCAGTGAGAAAGTGATCATAGGGTGGGACGTGAAAGGATGTTCCAGGCAAAGGAAATGGCCGTTGTGAGGCTTCTAAAGCAGGACCACGGCAGTGCTCACTCGGGACCGTGACAGTCTGTATTGGAGAGGCAGTGGAAGGTTGGGGCGTGTGCAGCCTGCTCTTACAAGGCTTCTCGCTGGGTTTCAACCATTTGCCTCTAATTTCCTGTGGATTCGTTCGTTTGTGTGAGAGGCGGAGGGAGAGAGCGCTCTTCCATCTCGATTCAGTCTTCACGTGCCTGTGTTGGCCAGGCCTGGGTCAGGACGAACCAGCAGCTCCAAGCTCGCGTGTGGGGGGCGGGCCTAGACTTGGAGTCATCACCCACGTCCTGTCAGTGTGTGTCAACAGGAAGCAGGGTTGGGTTTCAGACATCCAGTGTGGGACACGGGCATCCAAGGCAGGTGCTTGGTGCCATGCCAGTCACTGCCCGTCGTGCTCTGCGGTTTGTTGGGTGTGACTCATGTATCCTGTGCAAGGCTTGCTGAGTCCCAGAATCTGCTAATATCTGTAAACATGCTTGGAAAATCGTTAGTCTCAATTTAAGACAGTGAATTTGGCAGTGCCAAGATGGGATTCTTTTATAAAAGAGCCAATTGCAGGCGTGTATAGCTATTTTGAAGCCCTCACTCATTTTGTCTACTTTTGCTGACTACTTAAATTCTGCATTATTGACCATTTTCTCCTGCTTTGTCCATCTAATACGTTCTAGATCATGTTGATGTATTGTCAGGGCATCTTCTAAAAGCTCAGTAGATGTCCTGATCACCTTGATCTTGTCAGGACATGAATTGAAGCTTTGTTAGGAAACCCGTTTTCATTTCTCTCATTCCTAGAGTATTTTAATCCTGTCCCCTACAGTGTTGTCTTTATTCCTAGACACTTTTTGTTTGTTTTGTTTATTCTTCTGGAATCTTTTTTTAAAAATAAAGATTTTACCTTTTATTAATTTATTTTTATTGGGAAGGCAGAAAAAGAGGTGTTTCCAACCACTGGCTCATTCCGCAGGTTGCTGCAGTTTTCGGAGCTGAGCCAATCCAAAGCTGGGAGCTTCTTTCAGATCTCCCACATGGATGCAGGGTCCCAAGGCTTTGAGCCATCCTCTGCTGCCTTCCCAGGCCACAATGAGGGTGATGGATGGGGTGCAGAGCAGTCAGGACACAAAGTGGCACCCATATGGGCTTGTGGGACTTGGAAGGCGAGGTTTTAGCCACTGAGCTGTAGCACCGGGCTGTTTATTGCTGATGTTTGTATAGTTGAGAAAGATGCCCGCCCATGTGGACCATTGATTGGGGTAGGGAGGGTGGCGACAAATGCTTCCAATGTTTTTTTCCTCCTATTATCTGGTGGGGGAAGGAAGTG